TCTCTCTCAACGGGAGCCCGCAACGCACGCTGTGCGTGGTGCCACCGCGCTGAACCAGCGCTCAGCCAAGCCCCACTAGGGCTGGTACTACACCCTGTGTCCGGGATGTTCACGCAACAGAAGACATCTCGCCCGTGGCCTCACAGGCCCGGCACCGCACGGTGACGTTCCCAGTCACTGCAATTGTATCATCTGAAATGCACATGAGAAGACATACTTATAGGAATATCTCAGCTTAAATCATAATTAGGATTCGCCTGCTGTGATGTCATTATTCGGTCTTAACCATCAATATTTTGCTCCTTTTCTCACTCGCCTCCATGTCACCTGCTCTCCCTGCCCTGTCGGCTTCCTCATGCTCTCTCTCTCCCTCTCTCTCTTTACTTTGAATGCACCAGTGAACATTTGTAATAAGAGCACGCCATCTTCTGCATTATGTTGGGGATTACATTACGTTGATACAGTCCACGTATTATCAATAGTGGGGATTCTATCTGGGGGAAAGGTGAATGGGAGGAGCTAGCAGGCAGCCCTCCGGAACATTCTCGAAGGTTCCAGGAGGGGCGTGGCCAGAGGCGGGGCTTAGTCTCCGAGTAGGGGATATAAGCAAGGGGGGTACAGCAACGTGCGTAGGTCGGTGTTTGACGATCGAAGAGGAGATCCCCTCTTCGCCAGCCAGCGGTGCGTTAGCGAGCGGGGTGAGCGCAACGTGGCGCGGGGTGAGCGCAGCCATCCCGCGAAGAGAGGTGGCTGTCCGAAGATTTAATAAATAATACTTTGAAGTTACTCACTGTGTCGGAGCCACTTATTACACATTAAATAAATATTATCAGTAAACAAGTGGTGTGTCTTGCCATGATGTTCAGGAATGGATCTGAATGGCAATTTTTATTATATCGAGAAACATTGACTCATCTCTTGTATCACTGTATACTTTTATCATCTGACTGATACTCATTTTCTCACTGCTCTCAAATCATTTTTCGTCTTTTCTGAGGCTGCCCAAAAAACTGACGAATGTCACTGCCACCCATCCTCTTGCTCATGATGACACTCACTGTGAATGAAAGCTGACTGTAATAAAACTGCTTGCACTTTAATCAAAGAAACACTCTTAATGATACTTATCATAAGCGAGTACAGCTATACACTATACTATTCGAATATGCAATATATGAAAGCTACTACTGTCTACAAATATTACACATGCAGCGCAACATAAATGAATGACACTTCACGTGGACTTTCTGACAAATGTAACGTAATAAAGACATTAACCAATCTTGATTTGAAGCTTTCGTGACTGCAGGAATCTATACTCTTTGGTTCTTTCGGTAAAGTCACGTAGGTAGACGGCAAGCGGTCGTCCTCAGGCAGAAAAAAATAATCCAGCAGTGGAACTGCTGAACCAGCGAGAGAGCTGTTACAACAAGAGGATATTTACGTGGCAATGGGCAAGCAAGCGGGGTCTGAGCTAGAAAGGAATTCCATCCCCGGACGCAAGCACGTCAGTTGTGTTAATGGGGAAGATTATGAAGAGAGATATTAGGAAGAGAGATTAGCATGAAATGAGCTTCCGTCGCCGCGTAAGAGCACCGTCCCTGCATATGCGCACAACAGCAGTGTTAATGGGAGATTAGCACTATGTTGATTGGAGAGATTAGGCAGGGAGATTAGGGGGATTAGTCAGTTAATGTCATGTCTATGTGTAACACAAGCTGCGGTGCTGCCAACTGCGCTGTGAGCCAAGGGCGTCCACGCAAGAGAACCACCGCAACGGTGGTCGCACCAGTGAGACACACAGCCCATCACACAGCCAGAACCATCGATACATCGAGTCTAAGAGAGCAGAGGTGGCCATGTTAGTGAAACCCCAGCCCATTAATGCAGAGGCACCTAAGAGGGCAATGCAACTCAGAGAGTTGGAGATAACAGCCAAACGGCAGGGAAGAATGGATGCAACCACAGCAAGTTACGACTTTGCTTGGTTAATAACGTCCTTCCTATGATTGCTCAGCTTATACCCATCTTCTCGGTTGAAATTGTCTCCGTGTTTATACATCTGGATGGCTTCATGGACAAATCTTTTATGGTAGCCCAAAGGTTTGCAGAGTACCTTGGTCTCGGAAAAAGCAATATTGTGTGAGCCCACTGTGCTTTAAGAATGATCAGCCACTGCAGAGGTATTGGTTCTGCCGTGTTTCAAATCTGCCTTGTGTTCGCGAACACGGTCCGAGACATGTCGTTTCGTTTCCACAACGTAACTGCTGCCGCAGACACAACTTAGTTTGTAGACACCAGGGTATCGCATGTCAGGAATGATATCCTTCACAGATGGGATCAAATCACGGATTTTGTGTATTGTATTGAATTGGACCTGGATCTTGTGTTTGTTGAAGATTTTGGAAATATTTTTGGTAACCCCTGCTATGTATGGCAAGGTTGTGGTTTTGATTGGGTCCTCAGAATGTTGTCTCCCCATGGTTGGGGCTACAGCTTTGCGGATTGTGCGGTCTGGGTATCCATTCATCTTGAGGGCTTGGTGTATGTTCACTGGCTAGGTGGCGCTGGTCGGAGATGCAGCGGGCACTATGGTGTAGTGTTTTTATGAGGGAGTTCTTCTGGGCCGGATGGTGGTGGGAGTCAGACTTTATATAGGAATCCGTGTGGGTGGCTTTCCTGTAGACGGAATGTCCCAACGAGCCATCAGGCCTCTTCTTGTTCAAAACATCCAGGAATGGTAGCTTGCCATCATTTTCTACTTCCATGGTGAATTTGATGGATGGGTGTATGGAATTGATGTGATTGAAAAACTGGTTCAGTGCTGGATGGCCATGTGGCCACATGACAAAAGTGTCATCCACGTATCTCTTCCACAGGGAAGGACGTAGGGTGGATGTCAGGATGGCATCTGTTTCAAATTTCTCCATGAAAACATTCGCTACCACTGGTGATAAGGGAGAACCCATAGGGGTACCTGCATTTTGTTTGTAGAATGTACCATTCCAGATGAAGTAAGTGTTGGTAAGGCAGTGCCTCACCAAAGTTGGTATATCAGGATTCAGTCCTTGTTGGACCAAGTCTTCAACGATTGCTATGGTGTCAGGTACAGGTACCTTGGTTAACCGAGAGACTACATCGAAGCTGACAAGCAAATCATTATCAGGAGACAGTGAAATGTCCTTGATTAGAGAAACCAAGTGAGCTGAATTAAGTACTGCTGAGGTCGTCTTGCACGTGAATGGAAGCAGGGTCTCAGACAGAAACCGGGCCAGTTTGTAGGTAGGTGAGTTTATGGTAGAAACGATTGGAGGAATGGAGTACCTTCTTTATGGATTTTTGGAAGACCATAAAATCTGGGTGGTCTAGCAGCCGAAGGTTTTAGAAAGAGCTGCTTGGTCGATTCGATTATAGAAGTCGAATTAGTGATGATATTGTTGTTTTTTGTAGCCAGGCGGTTGGTAGGATCTTTGTTGATTTTGACATAACTGCCATCATTAAGGTCCTGTATTTTGTTGTTGTATGTGGTTTTATCCATGATGACCGTGGTATTGCCCTTGTCGGCTGAAAGGATGAGAATGTCATCTCTACTCTTTGGTTTTTTCGGTAAAGTTATGTAGGTAAAATAAAAATAAATTAAATAACGACGTTTTATTTTATTTTTATTTTACCTACGTGACTTTACTGAAAAAACCAAAGAATATGAATCCTTGCAGTCACGAAAGCTTCAAATCTAGAATGTCATCTCTCTTTTTTCAATTGAGCGAGTTCAGAGCACTAGTCCCTGCTGATGTTACTAATGGGTTTCTTAGCGTTTTTGATGGCGGCGATTTCAGATCTTACGACATCTGCTGGGATGTGACCTAAACCTTTGTGGGCTACGTCAACCTGGGCAAGGATATCATCCAATGGGATGTGTTTGGTGGGTGACTGCAAAGTTCAGCCCTCCAGCTAGTACCGATTTTAGACTATCGTTAATTGGGCTGTTACTCTGATTGAAGACAATCTTGTTAACATCTAACTTTTTTAACGTGTGGATCTGGCTTCTTTTTTGACAAGATGTTGAATTTAGCAATCAGTTTAACTTTACATTTGGCTGACATTGTCGCGGCAGAAGAAACAGTCACATTATCTACAAGGTCCCAATCAGATGTGAACATTATTTCTGTTAATGCTGAGTGTGATTGTATGTTCAAAACGGAGCAGCCTCATCCTTTCATGCTAATCTCTATCCCTAATCTCTCTCCCTAATCTCTCCCATTAACACAACTGACGTGGAAGTCCTTTCTAGCTCAGAACCCGCTTGCTTGCCCATCGCCACATAAATAACCACTTGTTGTAACAGCTCTCTCGCTGGTTCAGCAGTTCCACTGCTGGATTATTTTTTCCCTCCTGAGGACGACCGCTTGTGTTGCGATCGAAACGTCGTGATATATTAATTTTTTTATTTTGTTTATTTTTCTACCTACGTGACTTTACCGAAAGAACCAAAGATTAAAGACATTAACGTCCGTTGAATATGCCCGTGAGCGCCATTGTTTGTCTTTGGGTGAATGTGTGGCTAATTCACTTTCCAAGTAACTTACTTAGCTATGATAGCTAACGTTAGTGATGGTTGATTGCTTAGCAATCGCAAATCGGCCAGTTTTCACCAAAAACCATTGTTTACACTCGATAGTGATATAGCCTACGTCACACTCATTAATTCTTTTTTTCCACTTTTTTTTAATAAATTTGAAAGGAATGAAATGGAGAGACAGGACAGTGTTTGACATTGATTGTACCTACCCACAGCAGTCGGTCAAGCAACGGCTTCTGCTGGGGTACGGCAACACCACTTGGACAAACCACACGCAGAACTGCAGTACACCGTAATACTAGAACTGGTCGTAATAATAATGCCAATTTGTTAAGTTTAAATTTTGATTTAAAGCTTTCGTGACTGCAGTAATTCATATTCTTAGTTCTTTCGGTAAGGTCACGTTGAAGGGAAACAACCAAATAATATTGTTTTATATATATTTTATTATTTTGTTGATTCCCTTCAACGTGACTTTACCGAAAGAACTAAGAATATTGTTAAGTTTAGTTATGGTTATGATTACATTTGCTAATGACTATTTCGGACGGCGGTGCGTGGTTTCCTGTCGCATTGCAATTGCCCCAATATATATTATAATTATGGCCTTGGTTGAAAGTAAAAAAATATATACTGGAGGCTAGGTCAGGACACTGCGGTTGTAAACTCACTTCACCCAATTCTAGTGGCTAACTGTTGAGTAAATCATGTTCGAGTGAGTATAAAAATTGTTTCTGTCTTCCGATGTGCTGGTTATGCGTTCCACCCGCACTGTATCGTATGTGATCGGAGTCTCCCTCGCAACCTGTGGAATGGACACACAGAAGTAAATGCCGGAAGTGAGAACAAAAACCGTGGGCATTTTCCACGCTCACCGTACCACGGGTGGAGGTCGGTCAATGCAAGTTCACTTTAACAACAACACGCTGCCATGCCAATGGCGCCTTCTTCAAGGCAAAACGACAATGCGCCAGATAGGCCCTGGGACGAGGATCCTCCGACAACATTGAGGGACTCTCCCAGGTGAAGTGCGAAAGCCATACTCTGACTTGCCAGGAAAAGGCGAGGCACCAATAATGTTGTCCCCCCCCCACCTGGTCTGTCTGTATAGGATCGAGTGTTACCCCTCGCACACAGGTGGGCTTTTTCTCCGGGTGCTCCGGTATCCTCGCGCATATATCCACTCATCCGTCGGCCGACGAATGAGCCGTCTAAATGTGCGACCTCACGACGCATTCGTTCGGCGACCGCAATCCAATGCGGCTCGGCGGGGGACTGGGCGGATACGGTCGGACCTTGAAGCGCCCGTCACGACGCGCACCGGAGGAGTTTTTGTACGCGAGATGCGGGAGTTTGACGAGCAGCATGAGCTCTCCTTCAAAGGATTCTCACCATAGCCAATGACGATCTCTTCAAAGCTGAGAACGAAAGGACAAAAAAATTAACATTGCGTAGCAAGTCAACTGCTGTCCGTTTTCCCCATAACTGTGCGCATGCGTGCTGTTGTTGTTGTTTTCATAACGCAAATTGGATATACAGTTGATCATTGATTATCTGGCGTGCGATTATTCAGCTTCCAGCTTTATCCGGTGGTCCCGAGCCGATTCGGCGAGATGGGCAAAACCGCTAGGAAAAGGCTGTGACCTAGTCCAGCAATTAGCACCGTGTGTGTGACAAAAAAGTAGCAATTAGCACCGTGTGTGTGACAAAAAAGTAGCTATGCTTGATTGCAGTGTCAAATATATATGTAACATGATACACTACATACAAAAGCTTAAGCAATGAACATACTGCAGTCTTCTAGATTGGAGTGGTAAGTACGGTACAGTAAATGCAGTCACTTTTTTAAGTAGTATATTTATTTTGTCTATTTGTATTTTTATTGATATAAATTTCACATAGTAAACAAATTTAAAACACTAAAAATCCATGTACACAGCACCTAAAAAACAATGTTATGCAAGAACGTGCAAAAATGATCTATTTTAAATAAAGACGACGTGGTGATTATTGGGCTTTTTGTAAAATCCGTCACGCCCTTACCCCCCGAAGCCACCGGAAAATCCATGATTGACTGCGTAACATGATCGAGAGACATCTCTGCCACTGACGTTGGTGCCAGGGTTATTGAGTTTTTTGCATCAGCTCCAGGTTGATTAAAACTCAAGACGGCAGACCAGGGAGAATGCGGTGCCTTTGAGTTCAACATAACAGGGACTGAAATACAGCACCTGTCCAACGCCATGAGGAGATCGTCTGCCATGCAAATCAGGGCGAACTCAGTTGCACAATCGGCCCTGAAGCCTGATTGAGTTACATCAAAGAAGCATTCGGTCTCAAGACACGACTCCAACTGGGAGGAGGCCACCATTTCTATAATCTTCCCATAAAATTGAAGATTGGCGATTGGGTGATAGTCAGCCAGGATATCAACATACAGTCCTGTTTCCTTTACAAGTTGTCACACTAAAGCCTTTTTCAGGGTCCCGGGAACATTCCTTCTGAGAGGGAAGAGTTTACCAATTCGGTCACCATTGGGATCACTGGCTCAAAGGCCTCCTTAAGAAGACAAGAGGGACAGGGATCTATTTCACACGTGGTCCATTTTATCCCCGCAGTAGTTTGTATGGCAGGACCAGTAAAAAGGCCTCAAAGACGAGAGGAGCCCTTGGGTCCAAGCAAGGATCAGGACTAATTGCTGGGCAGATACCCTCTCTAATGCGATTGATCTTATTAGCAAAGAACTAATGAAAATCTTTGAGTTGCTCTTCAGAAGATGCAACGTTTATGGACGTAGAGTTTGGTGAATCATCCTGTTATTGTGTAATGTGCCATATTTTATTTGGTGTTTAGTGAAGAAAGGGGCTAGTTAGTTAAGCTACGAGGGGTCTGACCCACGGCCATGGTTCCTCCCAACTTACCAAATGGCCATTATACTTCACCACTGCTAATTTACCTACCCGCGGCATTTCCCAGGAACCTAACACGACAATCCCCCGCGGGTTTTGCGAGCGAATTTCGTGTAGACAGTTTGTTGTTGTTCACCCCTCACATCAGCGAAAGCGTTCACCTCTGGCTCGGAGTGCCCTCTGCACAACGCACGCGATGACGGCACCCAGAGAGATGGAGCCGATGGATATCATGGAAACCATGAAAGAAGATGTTGAGTTAGATGCAGTAGTCAGATTGGCTTCCACGGGGACATCTGCGCAATGGAGGTCACGTGACACATTGTGGTTAGACGACTTGGATCCGCACTGTGTAAGGTTGCAACTTCATATCCTGCTTGTGTGACAAATCAGCCGATGTAGGTGTTTTTAAGAGACATGGCCAGATTTCTGATCAAAATGGAGGTGTTTTTAAGAGACATGGCCAGATTTCTGATCACAATGGAGGTGTTTTTAAGAGACATGGCCAGATTTATGATCACAATGGAGGTGTTTTTAAGAGACATGGCCAGATTTCTGATCACAATGGAGGTGTTTTTAAGAAACATGGCCAGATTTCTGATCACAATGGAGGTGTTTTTAAGAGACATGGCCAGATTTCTGATCACAATGGAGGTGTTTTTAAGAGACATGGCCAGATTTCTAATAATAATAATGCACTTTGAGTGGCGCTAAATCCATTATGTAGCAGGACCGGACTGTATTCGGGAAGACATTGCCAAGAATTGTCACCAGAAATGGTTTTCGTGCCAATTTTTTTTTATTCTGAAATAAATACAAAACCTGATCATCGCTCCCCCTACTGGAAAACAAGCGACGAGAATTTCTATCATATCAAGGACGGAAGACGTGCGTCTGCAAGGATATGGTCTTTTTAATTAAACGCACATTTTATCGAGCATTTTCTTTCTTGTCAGATGAACGAATTTCCATTTCCTTAGCCATGGCTGATCATAATGAATGCATTGCAATTGACGATTGTCCTTACGTTGACCCTGTGCGCCGTGGCGAACAAAAAGGTCCGTGGAAATGGAATGTTGAGACGAGTGACTGTGCATTAGAGGGTCGCCTGTGTACACGCAAGCTTGAACATATGGCCCACTTACCGTCGACGACCAGGAGGGTTCCAAGTTGGTCAGCGTAATTGTACTCGCTGTTTCCCTGTTGGTTCATTTTCAACTCTTTGATGTGACAGAGGTAGACATTTATGTCACTACAGTTCAGGTTGGTGATGCTGATGCTCGCCTCCCCCTTGGTTGGGTCTCCCACCAGTCTGAGTCGATCCTGGAAATTCCCTTCGGTGTAGTTATTTGAACTGTTGAATATGAGCAGCCCCTTGTTGACCTCCTGGAGTCTCCACTCCACGTGGACTTGGTGTGAGAGAGAATGATGCGACAAGGTGCAGGGCAAGAGGGCAGAGCCGCCTGCCACGCCCTTGACGATCCTCTCGGTGCATACACTCGCCATGTCGCTGAAGTTGGAGCACTGAAGACTCTCGTCTCCCTCAGAGGCTGCACCAGAAAAGGAATGCGAACGATTTGGCACCATGAGTCTGTGATAGAGTGCTCATAGGAGGCAGATTGGGGTTGCACAGAGAGCACAATGTACATGGTCCCTGATAAACTACATGGCTATGAAGGTGTAGTGATGTATATTGGGTCACTTTGGCGCCCAAGGCCAGTAATTAGCCCTCTCTGCCAGCAGGGTTTGCTTTTCCATGGTAATTGGTCCCTAAGGAGCATGGTTCTAGCGGCGGGCAGAGAGAGAATGTGAGGACGTAGCAGCCCGATTGGCAGGAAAGGGCACGTGACAGGACAGGGTAAGGATGTGGGCCAAATGTGACAGAAGGGACATGTGATGGAAGGCCCAGAGTCTTCTAGTGAGTTCTAGGAGGGGGCGTGGCCGTGGCGGAGCCAAGCCACGCTGAGTGGCTTAAAAGGGAGGTCCCGAGGTACGATTTCTGGCTCTCTACTGGAATGGAACCCGCTGTGCTACGTCTCTTCGCTCTTCACGCTCGGCATCGTGGGTCAGGCAGTGTGTTAACTGACCTAATCCGGTTATGTAGTTACCCCGTGGTGGTTACCGCTATATAGTTATCCCGTTGTTACATTAATGTAGTTACCCCATTCTGGTCGTAGAATAAACGTGTTGCCCCCTAAGTCAAGTGTGTCTCTCAAGTGAACCCACTATATCTGGCAAGCACATTAACCCTTTCCCATTGTGACGACGTACGTTATGTCATCAGTTTTTTTTTCTGATTCCGTAACGGAAGATGTACTGAGGCTCCCACAAGGCCATGCGGTGGAGGCTTGTGTTCTGCCCCACGACAGATATGTCACCTGGGATCGGGCTGTCTCCATCGCCTGCAAGTTGTCTGGAGCTTGGAAGCTAGATTGTCTCCGAGTAGGGTTGTGTCTCAACACCTGAGTGTACGGAGTCACTCGTGTTATGTGTTGAGTTGTTATTGGACTTTATGCTTAATAAACATACAGAAGAGAAGATGGCGTCTCTGAGAGCTACATTACACTGGGAATGCTGTAATAATGTTGGGATTGCCGTTATAATGCTGTAAATGCCTTGTTTTTTTCCGAGACCAAGGTAGTCTGCAAACCTTCGGGCTACTATCAAAGGTTTGTTCATGAAGCCATCCAGATATATAAACAGACATAACTTCAACCGAGAAGATGTTATTAACCAGGAAAAAAACTTAATTGTTTATGGTTGTTCCATCATATCTGCCGGGTACTAGTCTATTTTTCCAAGTGAATCCTCAGATTAAAACACTACACCATAGGGCCCACTGCATTTCCGACCAACACCACCTAGCCATTGAACTGGAACACGTACACCAGGCCCTCAAGATGAATGGGTACTCGCAAAGCTGTTTTTCCAACCAGGGAGAAACAACCCCCTGAGATGCCGATCAAAACCATCATGTTACCATACATAGCAGGTGTTACCAAAAATAATTCCAAAATCTTAAACAAACACAAGATCCAGGTCCGATTCAATACAGTACACAAAATCCGTGATCTAAACCCATCTGTGCAGGATGTTATTCCTGACGTGCAATATCCTGGAGTCTCCAAACTGAGATGTACCTGCAGTCACAGTTACATTAGGGAAACTAAACGACATGTCTCGGACCGTGTTCGCGAACACAAGGCAGATCTGAAACACGGCAGAATCAATACCTCTGCCGTGGCTGACCATTGTTGTAACGCTGTGGGCTCGCATTATATTGCTTTTTTCCGAGACCAAGGTACCCTGCAAACCTTCGGGCTACTATCAAAGTTTGGTCATGAAGCCATCCAGATTTATAAACATAGACATAACTTCAACCGAGAAGATGGATACAAATTGAACAATCATTGGAAGTATGTTATTAACCAGCTAAAACCTTAACTGTTTATGGTTGTTCCATTATATCTGCCGGGTACTAGTCTATTTTTATGAGTTAATTTCCCCTGCATCCCCAGCATTCCCAGCCTCCCACTTCCCCCCCCCTGCCCCCCCCCCACCCAGCTTCACGTCCTCTCTACCCCTAGCGCTCACGCAGGGCCCCTCCATCCCCCTACCCCCCCCCCTCTCTCTCTCCCCTCTTGCTCCTCCCCCCCGTTGTGACTTATATAACCTCTTGCCACGGCAGCTCTCTCACCCACTGCATTACCATTGTTGCTGCATTGGCATTGCTGGTACATTGGCATTGTTGCTGCATTGGCATTGATGCTACATTGGCATTGCTGTTACATTAACATTGTTGCTGCATTGGCATTGCTGCTACATTGGCATTGTTGCTGCATTGGCATTGATGCTACATTGGCATTGTTGCTGCATTGGCATTCTGCTACATTGGCATTGTTGCTGCATTGGCACTCGTGCACCGCCCATGCTCCTGGTGCTGTTGATACACTTGAGCTACGCCCATCCCCAAACCTTTATAAACAGTTTGCCTTTAGAGGCTGACTCCTCTGCCTGATGACGACCGCTTGCGTTGCGATCAAAACGTCGTGATTTGTTTTATTTCATTACATTTCTAACTACGTGACTTTACCGAAAGAACCAAAGAGTATGGATTCCTACTTGTGTACAGTTACGTGGATTAAGTTGCTGGTAGAGTGAATTAGATGTACCTGTGATGTAGGGGTGTTGTTTGGATAAGGTTAAGAGACTTGTGGAGTGAGTGAGGCGGTTATGTAGTTAACGATGTCTTGAGGCCACCACGTGGCCAAGATGGCGGCCGTATCGTCTCAAACTTTTCCCAGTGTTTATTTTTATAAGGAATATATCACGCCGGTGAGTCGTATGTAACATCTTTACCAACTTTTTAAAAAGCATCTGGTGAAGCACCAAATGGTGAATACTTTGCATCACTTCCCGATGTCATAAACGTCCCTACTTGTTTTAAACACATTCATGAATTTATACAAATCGGAATCACTTATCCCCCCTACCAGATAATGATGATGGCAATTTACAATAAGATGTCACTAAATTCCTCTCAGTCACTCTTTGATATTCTCGTAGCCAGAGATTATCAAAGACAATGCAACACTCTTGATGATTTCCCTAAATTTTCCTAAAGCTAGCCCTGCATGAGTCATTGCCACGTTGGAGAGGAAGGGGTCCTGAAATGTTTGTTACCTGAACCGGATCTCAATACCGAGACGACACGTACCTTTGACGAGCAGGCGGGTTCCATGATGACCATAGTAAATATATTCTTTGATTCTTTGTTCGCTCATTTCCCACTCTTTGATTCGGCAGAAGTAGGTGTTTATGTCCGCATGTTTCAGGTTGACGATGAGGATGCTTGCCTCACCCTTGCCTGGGTCTCCCAGCAGTCTGAGTCGATCCCTAAAATTGTCGTCGGTGTAATTGTTATTCGAACTGTTGAATATGACTGCTCCCTTATTGACCTCGCTGAGTCTCCACTCCACGCTGACTTGGCTCGAGGGAGAACGAAGCAAGAAGGTGCATGGCAAGAGCACGGAGCCACCAACCACACCGATGACGAACCTCTTGGTACACACGCTCACCGTGGAACCAAATTTGGAGCACTGAAGACTCGCGTCTCCCTCAGAGGTTGCACCTGAAAAGAATGCAGACAGGACTAAGTAAGTGCCCGGTCCTGCAACGCCTCTGATGCAGTGATTTTCGGAGGTGGGGTTATCACGTTTAATTCATATGACTGTTCGACTCGCTTCCAGAGCCGCCATCAGATCTCTCAACCAACTCATTATTGCGTCATCTCACAGATCAGTCTATGCTCTGTGCATTAATTAGTCGGCTCGGACCCCCGTGCTCTGTGTTGCGTCATGAAGGGTCCTGCTGCACTCCAACCACCCATCAACCAATCAAAGCGGTCTTTGCGCAGTACAGGGACTCATCCACTTACACAAATTCGACTTAAGAACTTTCAGAGATATAAATAAAGCTGTCCGTATGTGTCCAGTTGTCTGTTCAGACCGAGAGTCGTTAGTTCAACCACCAAAAAATAGATGGCGGTGGTGGCATCTACATCTGTGAAACGTGAACAACCAGTGCCATCTACATCTATAGGAGACTATTCAACTTCTATAGGCATTCCCCGTGATTAACGTCCATGCCATACAACATGTTTAAAATCGAACAAATCGACTTACGAACAGATTTCTGGAACCTAACTAGTTCCTAAGTAGAGCAGTCCCTGTACTTGCATCGTTCTTCAATTAAAAAAAGTGACAATCGAGACAGCAGTTTCTAACTTGAAGGCAATGCATTCTCTCGGTCTGCAATTTGAGTTTGATCAACCTGGAACCAATGAAAAACTCGATAAGCTTGTCACCAACGTTGTTTGCAGAGGTATCGTTGCTTGACTACATTCCGCACCTTGATTCTCAAATTACGCTCGCATGTGCTCGCACCGCCGATTATTCACATCGCAAATGTTTCCTTCAGCGAGGGCTGTTTCGCAGAATGGTTAAAAATGGCGCAGGTAACACAGCTCCTGACAAAGCATTAGCTTGCGCCATAGTGAACCCACAACCTATCGCCCGGACTCAAACCAGAGCACGATTTCAAAAGGTCATAGAGCGCCTGTGGTTGGAGTGGTTACTTCCCCAGGTCGCTGCAACAGGCAGATTTAACCCATTGTATTCGTCATACCGGATGTTCCACAACGCTGAGATGGCATTACCAAAGATCACCAATGACCTCTACAAGATCACGGATGACAGCTTGGTTGGACTCGATGTCTCCACCGCCTTTGACACCATCGACCATGAGATACTCATCGGGTGGCTAAGGTCAATGTTTTTTGTTTTGGGTACACCACTGGGATGGATTTAGTTATACCCGCATGGTCGATCACAGTTCGCCAAGTTGAGGACGAACAGTAATCACCCATGCCATGCCAAGTACCACAGCGGTCCGTCCTCAGGCTCTTCCTGTTTTCAAGATACGTGTCTCCGATCGTCGATGTCATCTTGTCACATGCCATCAAATTTCATTAATTTGCTGACGATGCACAATTGTAAACTGCAGTGAAGTCAAAGTAAGATATGGAGAGCCTCTGTAACCTTGAACATTGCTTGCAAGCGGCGCACGTGTAGTTAGCGCGAAAGAAAATGCTGCTTAATCCATAAAAATCTGAGGTTCTGCTGGTTGAACTCAGGCTCAGG